CTTTACATGCAAGGTAATAATGGTTGACTGTCCAGGACAAGAATGTAAAAACTATTCTCTCCTTCCTAAACACATGATAAAGCTTCTCCTGCATTTCAAACTGTTGTTCAGAGGTAACCAAAGAGGACAGTAGTTAGAAGGAGGGAGTGAAAGAAAGAGGCCTTTTAGTCAGGATATCAGACCTCTTTACTATTGGTATTTTGTAATACAAGCAAGCATTTCTATTTATTACTTTCATAAATCAACAAATACAAAGTTTAAGATAAAAAAAGAAAGCCCCGCCGGTATGGCTCAGTGGCTGAGCATCGACTTATGCACCAAGAGGTTGCTAGTTTGATTCCTGGTCAGGGCACATGCCCAGATTGTGGGCTAAACCCTCAGTGGGGGGCATGTAGGAAGCAGCCAATCAATGTTCTCTCTCATCAATGTTTCTTTCTCTCCCCCTCTCCCTTCCTCTCTCTATAAAATCAAAGAAAAAAAGATAAAAAAAGAAAACCCATATTTCGATATACACATAACCACTATTTGGTGACATCAATGGAATCTATTCAAGACCAACTGAGTCTCTTTCAGTTCTTCAATGAGAGATTGAGTCTTTTAAGATGCCACGAAAAACACTGGTCAGTAGCTTTGCCGAGAACCAGATATGTCTGATCTAAGTTAAGATTTCATCATACCAGTATTTCTATCACCAATGTGTCTTTGGAAGTAAAAAAAATAATTTTTAAGCAATGTTAGTTTAATTAATTGTGCAAATTGAGCCAATATTATGTATTCTGAGCAACTCAAAACCAGTTTTTCTTTTAAAAAGAACCTCCACAGAAAACTCATACTCTTGAAAATAACTAAAATATATACATTTGCTCTTCAATTTTACAGCTTTTGAGAAGCTACTTGCAGGCTAAATGCAAATCTGTCTACATGTGCACACATCAGAATAATCTATTACTATTAACCTAACCTTGCCTAGAGGCAGGTCTCATGTACGCTTTGAGAAAAATATTGGAATTACAATATTCATGAGACTATATCCTCAATATAAACTTCTTTTCATTTTCTACTCATATATTTTCAGACAAGTCAAAAAGACACCCTCCATTCACCACTGACAGATTTCATGAAGAGATGTCCTAATAAAGTTCTGATAACTAAGATAAATCTAAGGTTGCTAAAGCAACTATAATTTACAAGGAACGCCCGAAGTGGCTTAATGGCATAATCTACAATCTTTCTCATTATCCTGTTTATTTCCTTCATAGCAAAAAATTGCTTTAGGTAATTAACTGATTTGTCTGCTTATAATTTAAAATAAATGTGTAGAATGTCACTGCCTAGGCAGGGGTCTTAGCGGGCTCACTCATCACAGCAGTCTCTAGGTCTAGACCAGTACCTGGTTCATCACAGGCAGTCAATATCTGTTGAAGTTATAAATGTAAAACTGAATATGTATAATTAATTCCTTTTTAGAATTTAAAGACTATATATACATTGTACCCACTATAGACATATTAATATAAAAACAAGACCAAAGAATTAATACAAAGATCAATAAAAAGCTATTGCTCAGATAAATAGCTGGAATTTGGCATTGGTATTGAGGATAGTTATAAGTGGACATGAGTATTCATCAAATGGTTTCATTGTTCTAAAAATGGGTGCCAGGAAAATGAGAACTTAATTTTCAATTAAAATCAGAGTTTGACATTACATAAAAATGATACTATGTGTGTGAATTTTTCAAGAATCTCAAACCCAATTCACTAAGTTAGCAGTGAGTACCATGAACTCCTTTCTCTACATATTTAGTATATCATTTTCATGGGGAAATAAAAAGTGACCCTCAATACAGCTCAAAAGCTCATATAAGTTGCTTTTTCTCTAGATATTCCAACAAATTCCTTGCAGAACCAACCTCATGAATTCTACAGGAAGAGCCTTTTACTCACTTGCTGCCATGTTAACTTCAACCTTTCATACTGCTCCTTGCCATCTTCTGAGCAATCAGAACAAGTAAACCTAAAAAAATTATCACCCTTAAGGTAACTGAGCTGTTCCCTCAGCTGACCTAGGAGAAAAACAAAAAGGCATATCATAGGTTTATCTAGAGCAGGGGTAACTCAAAGGTTTAATTCATTTATTAACCAGATTTTCCATTTCCCATATTGTTTTTCCTTCGTTTCAGCCAGTCCACAACAGAAGGAGGCAGGGAAGGGAGAAGAGAAGAAAGATTTGTATTCTTCCAATATCAAGTATATGCCCACCAAGATTGCTGGTTCCCTTTTAGGAGAAAGATACTGGGAAAAGCAGGTATTGCTGCTCACTGGATTTTCCAACTGCTAACATTCCTGACTCCTGTAGTTCTCATCATACATTCTTTCAAAAATGATCTAAGCTCCCTCTGAGTATCAGGCACTGGGGTAGGAACTGGGAATACTATACCCAAGACAAGCATTCTAACTGCTCTTAGCAGTTTACAAATTCTGTAAGGAAAACATGAGGAAATAAGTAATTATAACAGTGCAGATGTCACTGTACATCAGAATCACCCAGGGAATTTTTTTGGTTTTGTTTTTAGTATGTCTTGGCCTACCCCACATGAAATTAATCAATCTCTGAGGTGGGGCCTGGGTCTGCATCTTTAAAAAGTCCCCAGGTGACACAAGCACTGTAAGCCATGAAAACCACTGCAGCAGTAAAGGCAATGTGAGGGCACATAAAAGGGGTGCCCAACCCATATTGGGAAGATAGGAGAGCTAGAAAAAGTGGGTTCTACAGGATAAGTAGCAATGACCAGGGGAAGAAAGATGCTTGTGTGTATGGGGGAGGGCACGGAGACTAGAGATGCATATTCCAGTAAGAAAATTAAAATGTGCTATGCCCTGACTGGTTTGGCTCAGCAGTTAGAGCGTCAGCCCTTGGACCGAAGGGTCATGGGTTTGATTCCGGTCAAGGGCATGTACCTGGGTTACAGCTTCGATCTCCAGCCCTGGTTGGGGTCATGCAGGAGGCAACTAATTGATGTGTCTTGCTCACACCAGTGTTTCTCTCTCTCCCTTCCACTCTATCTAAAAATTAATTACAAAAATATCCTCAGGTGAGGATAAAAAAAAATGTGCTAAGTCCCAGGGATAAGAAAGACTGGTTGTAGAGAATTAAAATCTCTTCCTAACAGCAAAGTTTTGTTTATGTGTGAGGATAAAAGGATACTAGAGAGAGAGGCTAAAGAAGTTAGCAGGGGCACAATCATAAAGGGCAGTTTAAAAATGTGTACTGTGAGGACAAGGAGAAAGCCACTGAGATTTACAAACAGGACCCTGAATTATTAAGCAGAGAGAGACACAGCTCACAAAAAAATCTAATATGTAATAAATTATACGTTTTCTATGAAAAGTTATATATTAGTAGTAACTAATTACTAATTAATAAGTATTAATCTGAATAGTTGAATCTTCAAAAACGTTTCCACATATCAGAATATTACCCACTATACAATTATATATATAAAAATACTTCTCACCCTGGCCGGTTTGGCTCAGCGGTTAGAGCATCAGCCTGCGGTCCCGAGAGACCCGGGTTCGGTTCCCGCTAAGGGCATGTACCTTGGTTGCGGTTTGTCCCTGGCCCTGGTCAGTCGTGCGGGTGGCAGCCACTCGATGTGTCCCTTTCACATCGATGTTTCTCTCTCTCTTCCTCTCTCTCCCTCCCACTCTACCTGAACAAAAAATGTCCTCGGGTGAGGATAAAAAATAAATAAAATAAAATAAAAATAAAAATACTTCTCTGACCTAGTTACAAATTCTGTTACACAAAGAATTCTTCCAGTACATATGCCTTTACTAGTCTCTGCCTAATAGAAAAATTCTGTTTGGTAAGACTCAGGATGACTGGCAAAGCATACTCTTCCTTAAGAACGAGGAAGCTAGCAATTAAAAAAACTTGAGTTGAAAAACTAAAATATCAAGGAAGCATGTGTATATATATCTCTTGCCAGCAGATCAAAGAGGCCAACAAGTAGAAAATGAGAATGGTCCTAGAAAAAAAGAACACAGAACACTTTTAATCTACTAATTCTAGCCTTACTTCAGCATACAATAGGATTTGTCCATGTAAATTAAATATTAAAGTAATTTTTATGAACTTGAACTTTAATTCTACACTGGGCCTAGAATTTGGCCCAATTCTTAACATAGCCTTGTTAGAAAAATCTAATTCTTTCAGTAACACAGGATTTCCAATTTTCTGATCTTTACTGGGTTATCATCAAGAATGTTATTTTAACAATGTGATAAATGTTGATAGTAATTTTTATTAGTATAAATGTTTGTTTTATATAAACTTGCAGTTAACCAACTAAACTAAAAATAAATATAATAATTATCTTTTTATTTAGATCTACTTTACATTCATGTTTCTTTCACAGGTTAGAAAAACAAACCACGTAGAAATAGACAAATCAAAGGAATCAAGAAGCTCCTTACTGGCTGGTATCCATTTTTGGCATTTGTCACAGAAGTAGGACAGCTGCTCCTCCATCCAGGACACATCTCCTTCATCACTGTTGAGAGAATCCCCACTCTGATCATGAGACAGGTCCACTGATGCCTGGTCCTCCGATTCAACAATCAGGAGAGTTTCCCCTTCCACTTCACCCTCCTCCAGGCCTTCTGAGGTAGATGTTCTTGTGGCTTCATCATCATGGCGACTTATCAAACTACTCAGATGAATGTTACTATCCATCCCTTCTTTCTCACAGGGTCAGAAGTGCTCTCTGAAACAATCCTAAACTCTGGACACCAAGCTTAAAGGGGCAGACACTCTTCAGAAGAATATCTGCCCACTTCTCTACTCGATATAATAAACTTTTAAAGCAATAATTTAGAATATGTAACTCATTGTCCTTTTACTTGATTGAGTTTAAAAGAACAGTGACCAAAAAAGGTTGAAGATCTTATCAAGCTATTCTCCATCAACACACTCACATGCACACACACATTCAACACTATCTGTCCCACCAATATTTCACATTCATTTCAAGTCATGTTTTTTTAGATCCTTTGCCAATAACATCTTCTCTCTTTCTGCTTCAAGTTGCTCAGTCAAAATAATCTGTTCTCCCAAAAGACGAATGTTTTCTTTCTTCCGATTTTGCCTTTCAATGTCTCTGATCACTCCGTCACGAAGCCTCTAAAAATGTAAGAAACAGATTTCAGTAACACTCTGAACAGGTGGTTCCCATCCTTGTGCCATTGAAGTCCAAATAACAGTGTTACCAAAATACACTTAAAACTTTCAGACTCCAAATACCCAGTTTCTATTTTAACTTTCTGTATAAATATAAAATGTAATAAAGAAACCATCAAATTAATCTGGTAGTGTGCTATAATGTTATCACTTGAATGACTACTTACCATATTTTAAGAAATTCCTGAACATCTAGTATAGAAAACTTAACTGGAAATAACAATTTAGAAAGAAAAACTGCCACTATGTTGAATTTTAAAAGTTTAATTGATATATGACACTTAACAAATTTGATAAGAATTACTACAGTAACTTTCCTATTAGCAATTATCCTAGCTGAATAGTAAACATTTAAGAAAAAAGAGAGATTACTACAATATGAACAAGCTTTAAGGTACATGCAAAAAAGTAAATAAAGAGAAAAAAATTATACAGAATTACTAATCAATTATATAACAGAGAGAGAGAAGGGGGAAAAAAAGAATGCTACACCAGAGAAAAAAATAAAGGCCCATCCATGGTAGTTACTTTGTTAAGCACTAAAGACAAGTAGAAAATTCCAGAACATGGACCTGGCACCTAAGATGAGACTTTTTAAAGCATCAATCCAGTCATGACTAGTAACTAACATTTTATAGTTACAGGTCACAAAAATGCTCTAAGTTTTTAAACAGCAGCCTTGTGAGGCATAATTAATGAGGATAAGACCAAGGGTCTGAGTATGTTTTGTTTTTTTAACATGTTTTTATTGATTTTTTCCTTTTTTGAGAGAGAGAGAGGAAGGGAGAGATAGAAACATCAATGTGAGAGAGAAACATCTATCAGCTGCCTCCTGCCCACCCTCTACTGGGGATGGAGCCTGCAACCCTGGCATGTGCCCTGACTGGGAACCAAACTGGGACCTCTCAGTCCATGGGACAATGCTCAATTCACTGAGCCACACTGGCTGGGCTATCTATCTATCTATCTATCTATCTATCTATCTATCATCTATCTTTAATTATATCTATTTAAAAGACTCACCAAGTATCTACTAGCTGGACCTCCTCTAGGCCTAGAGCTTCATTCCCTATTATTGGGGAGTAGAGATAATAATGCAACTGAAAACCAACTTATTTATCCCTGAACCCTTGGCAAGACCACCAGAGACAGAAATGGAGGTGCTCATTCCACTCCTCCCTCCCCTATTCTTCCTATCCTGTGCTCCTTACATCATGACTTACCTACACACCCAACCCACACCCCAAAGCCTCCCTCCTTCTCTGCAGTCATTCCACACCTGCCTGAGATTCTACCCTGCCTTGCCAGACTTTAGCACATGCTTAGGAGAAAGATACTGGGAAAAGCAGGTATTACTCTTCATCCATCATTTGCTATCTTCCTCCAAGTTTCAATATGTATGCTGATTTCCACTTAACTTCCTTACCAACTACTTCCCTTACTAACCACTAAGACCTCTTCACTATTCCAATTCTAACACCTAAGAACTCCGGCTCCTCATGTAAGTACTACTTGTTTTGCTGGGTTCCCATGAAAATTAAAGATAATGTATATAAAGTGCTTACTACATACAGTGCCTGTACTAAGTATGTGATAGACAGTCAAGGAACAATAGTCATTATTTTATTTCTTGCTTCCTGGAACCTTTTTACATATCCACCATGTCAATTATTTGGCTAACTCCCACTGCTAGAAAGTAAGCCCATAATGAATGATTGGATATAAGATAAACACAAGTTACTCTGGTCAATCTTTTCTTCATCTTTAACTTCTAAATATCTAAATCTTCCTGTTCTTCCACTGTCTAACACAGTGGTTCTCAACCCTGGCTGCATGTTATAACCTCCTGGGTTGCCTTTTTTTCTTTTTTTTTTTAATCCTCACCTGAGGACCTTTTTCCATTTCTTGTTCAGATAGAGTGGGAGGGAGAGAGACAGAGAGAAACATCGACGTGAAAGGGACACATTGAGTGGTTGACACCTGCACGACCCATCCAGGGCCGGGGACAAATTGCAGGTTACGTGCCCTTAGCGGGAACCGAACCCGAGTCTCTCTGGACTGCAGGCCCACGCTCTAACCGCTGAGCAAAACCGGCCAGGGTCCCCTGGATTTCTTTTAAAACATACCTAAGCAGGATCCCCATCCCCAGAAGATTCTGATTTAAAAGGTCTGGAGTAGGGCCCAGCCTCAGTTGCCTTGTAAAAACTTTCCAGGAACACTAGGTGTGTAGCTAGGTTTCAGAACCAAGCTCTGAAAACCCAGCCCTACCTGACACTCTGAAATTCCGCTCACTGACCTCAGAGCTACATTCAATATATCATCCTCTACTCCATCACAATTTTTCTTGGGGTCACCATCTTTTTTCCTTCTTAGAAGGAGATAGATTCCTGCCTCTATTACAAAAGCTACCCTTTTGGAACCCCAAATCTCTAGTCTCTTCCATGCCCTTTCATTATCCATCATCTCATTCCCTCCTCCCCACAATTTCTGAATCTTCACAGGCTTCCTCACCCCTGATTTCAACAGATTGTGAAAACAGAAGACAAAGACCTCATCTGCTTCATATCTGAATACCGAGCACACAGCACAGTCTAATGCAAGAAATGACTTTACTACTGATTCAGGTCATTACTTCAACCTTGGCAAACTAGGCTCAACCAATACTCGAACCAAGGTGCTCTCTGAGAGTTCACTGATGACCTAGCTCCCGTTCTAAACGTTCAGCACTGTTTCGAATCACTCAGTCTCTCTCAGGAGCAGCTATGCTTCCTTATCTTCGCTTCCCACAACGCCTAGTGCAGTGCCTGGCACACAGTGATCACTCATTAAACGTGTGCTACTTGAATAAGAAAGAAATTATGAGCTGAGAGACACAGAATGGACACTCAATCCAATGATCAGTAAGTCACGATATGTCTAGAAATACAAGTACCAAAAAAAAAGGAAAGAGAAAATTTGGAGATTGATATCCCTAACGTTCCCAGAATCTAATTTCATAGCAAACTGTTCCTTATAAAATATAATAAAACAAAACAAAACAACATTGAGGTATCTCACCAAATTACCTTGACCAAAGGCAAGAAGGTGGAGACAGGGATGCTTCTTTGTCATAGGTTAAAATCTTAGCATTTAAACACATTAGGACCCAACCTTGGGCCAGGAGGTGGAGAGAGGCCAGTAACCTGCTGAATGCACTCCAAGGAAACCCCTTCCCCTCCTCCATTTTCCTACGGTCCCAGTAACATTCCGAAAGGTCGTATCACTGCAAGTTGGCTGTGATTTGAAAACGGGACCGCTGACCACCCCACGACCGCGCGTTCGCGGGAGCCACGCAACTTTAGCGCAGAGAGGGCCGGGCTCCCAGGCGCCCGCCAGAAGAGCGTGGCCTGGACCTCGAGGGCGCACGCAGCCGGGGGCTGCAGCGCCCAGGGCCGAACAAGCGGCAGCCAGCCGCAGTCCCATAAGCATGAGAGTGCCGGGCTGCGCCACCCGGGAGGAAAGGACAAGGGAGAAGGAAAAACCAGGACAAATGGAAAACCACGCGGCGAGAGAAGAGCCCGAAGCCGCCGCCGCCGCCGCACTGGCCCGGAAGAGACTGTCACGTGACACCGACCTGCCGGTCCTGCCGCTGCTTCAGATGCACGCCGGCCACCGTGGCCGTCGTCAGCACCACCGAGAGGCCCAGCACCAGCTTCGAGCTCCTCGACATCCCCGCGCTGGCCGCCGCGCCCGCCCCCTTCCACCCTCTCCAGGCCCCAGGGCGCCGCCGTGAGTGCGTCGCTGCTAGTGCGAGCCAGACCCGATACCTAGAACGCCGAGCCTCAGTCCCTGCGAGCGCCGCTCGCCGCTGCCAGGCGCGAGCAATCGAGAACCGAGCGGCGCCGGCTCCCTGGCCAGTGCAGCTTCGCGTGGAGCCTGGGGAAAGGAGGGATGCCCTTTCTACCTTGCGGGCGGCCGGGTTGACACACTCCCAATTCAAATTGTAAAGAAAAGTCCCAGCACCTTGCCGGGGATGGGGTAGAGGGGTTCCATGCCTAAGCTTCATTTTATCGCCTCCCCACCACCCGCGGCAGGGGTCATCCGGCGCTGAGGCGGGCGGTGGGGGGGGGGGGGGTTCCCACTGGGGTAAGTTGCTGATACAGTTGCTTTGCTCAATACCAGCTCACCAAACTCCAACCTCATTGTCCCTTTGGCGGGGGAGGTGCCACCAGGAGATGGAGTTTTGCTGCTTAAATACTGTAAACAGTCACCTGCTTTTACCTTGACACTGTGCGGTGGCTGGTCAGGGTCAGATTTTTCTTAAAATCTAAAGTCTTCTGGCTAAAGAGCATGCTAACTGGGTAGCACATCTTCTTGCCTCCTGATAGAAAAAGAGCTGGTCACCTCCTTGCCTATGTAAATAATCCTTAAAAGGTCATTTTTACACCCTTACAGCCTCCGTTCTGCCATTTGTTTGTTTGTTTGTTTGTTTGTTTTTTCCCTATATATATTATTTTATTTTATTTTTGTTACAGATGTTTCTCCTTTTTTACCCCATTGACACCCTTCTCCCCATACCCCCACTGGTCCCTGGCTTTGTTGTCCATATCCATTGGTTATGTGTATATGCATATAACTTCTGTGGTTTACTCTTCCCTCCTCCAACTGCCCCCTATTCTGAGGGTTGTCAGTCTGTACCCTATTTCCATGTATCTGGGTCTACCCTATTCCTCAGACTGTTATGTTCATTATATTCCACGAATAAGTGACATCATGTAGTATTTGTCTTTTTCCACTTGGCTTGTTTCGCTTAGGATAATACTTTCCAGGTCCCTCCATGTCGTCTCATAGGATAAGAGATCTTTTTTTCTTACAGCTGCATAGTACTCCATTGTGTATATGTACCACAGCTTTTCTATCCATTGTCTACTGATGGACACTTGGGTTGTTTCCAGATCTTAGCTATTGTAAATAGTGCTGCTATGAACATGGGGGTACATATATTCTTTCTGATTGGTGTTTCAGGCTTCTTAGGGTATATTTCTAGAAGTGGGATGACTGGGTCAAATGGCAGTTCAATTTTTATTTTTTTGAGGTGACACCATATTTTCCATAGTGGCTGCACCAGTCTGCATTCCCACCAGCAGTGTACTAGCGTCCCTTTTTCTCCACACCCTCGCCAACACTTGTTTGATGATTTGTTGATGGTGGCCATTCTGACAGGTGTGAGGTGATACCTCATTATTATTTTAATTTGCATCTCTCTGATGATTAATGATGTTGAGCATTTCTTCATATGTCTCTTGGCCATTTATATGTCCTGTTTGGAGAGGTGTCTATTTAGTTCCTCTGCCCATTTTTAAATTGGGTTCTTTGTCTTTCTTTTGTATGAGTACTTTATATATTTTGGAAATTAACCCCTTATCTGATGTGTCATTGGCAGTTATGCTCTCCCATACAGTGGGTTGCCTTTCTATTTTGATGGTTGTATCTTTTGCTGTGCAGAAACTTTTTAGTTCGATGTAGTCCCACGTGTTCATTTTTTTCCTTTGTTTCTGTTGTCTTAGGTGATGTATCAGTGAAAATTCTGCTGCGTATGATGTCTGAAATTTTGTTGCCTACAGTCTCTTCTAGAATTTTTATGGATTCATGGGTCACATTTAAGTCTTTTATCCATTTTGAGTTTATTTTTGTGTATGGTGTAAGTTGATGGTCTAGTTTTATTTCTTTGCATGTAGCTGTCCAATTTTCTCAACACTGTTTATTAAAGAGGCTGTCACTCCATTGTTTGCTCTTGCCTCCTCTGTCAAATATTAATTGAGCATAATGTCTTGGGTCCATTTCTGGGTTCTCTGTTCTGTTCCAATGGTCTATATGCCTGTTCTTGTGCCAGTACCAGGTTGTTTTGATTACAGTGGCTTTGTAGTATAACCTGAAATCTGGTAATGTGATCCCACCTACTTTGTCCTTCTTTTTCAAGATTGCTGTGGCCACTCAGGGTCTTTTATGGTCCTATATGAACTTTTGAAGTATTTGTTCTAGTTCTGTGAAGTATGTCATTGGTATTTTGATGGGGATTGCATTGAATCTATAGATTGCTTTGGGTAATATGGACATTTTAATTATGTTAATTGTTCCAATCCATGAACAAGGTATGTGCTTCCACTTTTTTATATCTTCCTCTATTTTTCTTTTTCAATGTCCTGTAGTTTTCTGCAAATAGGTCCTTTACTTCTTTGGTTAAGTTTCTTTCTGGGTATCTTAATTTTTTTGCCACGATGGTAAATGGGATTGTTTTTTCAGTTTCTCTTTCTGTGAGTTCATCGTTGGTGTATAAGACAGGATTCCTGGGCCCACATCCCCAGAAACATAAATGATGGATGGAATGAAGGAGTGCTCCGAGAATCGCTTAAGATACTGTCCAAGGTGTAGACAGACGTTTGACTTTCTAATGAAGTGGTATTGTTATTATTCTTGCTAGAAATCACAGAGAAAAAACTTCCTGTGGAAACAACTTTGGACTATATTCATTTGACTCGATTTTAACCTAACCCAAGGGCTTCTTCAACATTCATCTCTGTAGTGCTTTGCTATTCCAGCCTTATGTTATGCAAGTGTAAATGGCATGAAGCGATATTGCTCTTAGGAAATATATATAATAAAAATTTTAAATAATAAAAAATTTTAAAATATCCTTTCAAACGTCATTTTGTCCACATGTTTCTCAGCCAGAGGAATGTACCATTGAATTGGAAAATGGGGTTCCTGCCCTAATAGACCTTGAAGTTAGAAGCAGTTTTAGACTACTTTTAATTGTGGTCTTCTCCAGATATTTTTTCCTCTAAGTCAGTAAGCCTTCAACATGTCCTTAGATTGTACCCCAGAGGGTTAGATGGTCTTTCATTCTATCAGCATTAATTTTTCAACCTGTCTTCTTGAAATATTTTGTTATTCAATTTTCAAAAGATCCTTTAAATGTTGACAAGTGTCAAATTAAAAATGGATTATCTGTTTAAATATTTATAAGCCTAGGCAAGATGTATTGCGTGATTGTTATCTCATAAATTACTAGGTTGTGAGAGAATGACTGCATGCCATCAAACACTGAAACCATTAAAATAATTTCCATCTAACCTAAGATGGAAACTTTTTTCATTAAAGTAATTTCCATCTAACCTAAGAATATTTCTGAGTGTGTGCAGTGTGTTCGAACAAAAGCAACTTTCTGGGGCAACTTGAAGGGTTTCTACCAAAGAATACAAGTCCAGACTTGATTGGCTTTTTTTCCCCGGACAAACTGACTGAATGTGCCAGGATCAGTGGACTCATGGTACCCCTGTGCCCATGTCATCTCTCAAGCAGCTCTATTCCTGCAAGGAAGATGGACTGGAATATTGAATAATCACAATTTAAAAAAACAGTTTACAAGTAGCAATTGTTATGAACTGCATATTTGTGCACTCCCCTTGCCATTCTTATGTTAAAATTATAACCTCCAATGGCATGGTATTAGGAGAGAGAGCCATTAGTAGGTAGGTAGGTTTAGATAAGGTCATGAGGGTAGTGGCCCCATGATGGAATTAGTGCCCTGGTAAGAAGAGAGAGACTAGAGCTTGCTTTCTCTACCATGTACGGATGGATGCAACAAGAAGGTGGCCATCAGCAAACCAGGAAGAGGGCCCTCACTAGAACCTGACCATGCCAGCACCCTGATCTCAGTCTTCCCAGTCTCCAAAGCTGTGAGAAATAAATTTGTTTAATCTACCCAGTCTGTGGTATTTTTTGTTATAGAAGCCACAGCTGAGACAACAATGAACTGTTCCCCCAAAGTTAAGTGTGGGTGTAGGTCTACTGCTTTAGAGTCAGTTGGGTAACAGAGAAGAGTCAAGACCCAGAACTCTATCAGAACCTTCCAGCAACTCTCTTCCTGGAACCAGGTGCTGGCTGTTCTTAAATTCCTCCTTCTCTTTCTCTCAGTGGTAAACCATCTCTAAATGCTGATTAATTGGAAAAATTCTGCTTAACCATTGGAGACTCTGAGTGAGAGGTACTACAGAAATAATCAGAGAAATAAGTACAGGCAGAGCTTCTACCACAAGGTCTAAGACTTAAAATGGAAGCCCACTCATCCACAGGAAGTAGGAAAAATTACTTCATAATATTAGCAAAAACTTAGCACATTCAGGCACACATTTAAAAGCTGTTTAGCCTTTGGCTAGCATCTCCCCATTTTCCCCAACCCCCCAGCCCCTGGCAACCACCATTCCACTTTGCTTCTATGATTTAGCCTTTTCAGATTCCACACATAAAAAGTATATGTACCCCCATGTTCATAGCAGCACTATTTACAATAGTTAAGATCTGGAAACAGCCCAAATGTCCATCAGTAGACAAATGGATAGAAAAGCTGTGGTACATATACACAATGGAGTACTATGCACCTGTAAGAAAGAAAGATTTGTTATCCTTTGAGACTACATGGAGGGACCTGGAAAGTATTACCCTAAGTGAAACAAGCCAAACAGAGAAAGACAAGTATCATATGATCTCACTTATTTGTGGAATATAATGAACATAACAGTCTGAGGAATGGGGTAGTCCCAGAGACGTGGAAGTGGGGTACAGACTGACAATCCCCAGAAGAGGGGGTGGTGGAGGAGAGATAATCCACAGAACTTATATGCATGTATGCATGAACAACGGACATGGACAACAAAGCTGGGGACAGGGTGGGGA